TTATGATGCCCCTTTCGAGCATTTTTATGGCAACAGGGTATGGAAAAACAACAAAAATATATGTATATATGGTTTATATGCGAGTATGCTTTACTTTTTGTGCTTGGTTTTACTTTACTTCTTTTTTTCTTCTTTTGCCGGCTGCTGCATGCCGCCACAGGGGAAATGAGATTTGCGCCTCTGAGTATGCGTCGTGTCAGTTTCGAAATAAGAACGTGGGAATTTGGACAGCCAGTGCCAGTGGCAGGAGTGGCAGCAACCGTGAAGGGCGAAGGGCGGGCACCTTTGTGGTCGCAAAGGGACAAGACCACACTCTCGCTCACACACCAATACAAAACCACAAAGTAGTCAAACAAATAAATAAACAAACACACTGACGGCAACTGAATTTTAAGCTGAAATGGTCTCCCAACTGTGGCTTCTTTTTCAACTTGAGTCCATAAATGTGCGCAATCAGTTTTCAGCACTTGTTTAATTGGCAACTAGTTAAAGCACTTGGCCAAAAGCATTAATAACTACAATTATATATCAGTTATATATCATTAATAGCTAATGCCGAAACTTTGCCCAATTAAGAGCCCTGTCCTAGGGGCTGCAAGCGGCGGGCATATGAATAAGGCATAACTTTCTGCTGAAGCACATTCGAGTGCGAGCACTCTTAAGAAAATATAACAAATTAGTAAAGCAGCCCACATGTCGTGCCTGCTTAAAATTACCTTACTCCATTCCTATGAAATGTCAATAACTTTGTTTACTTTTGACATTTGTATCAATTTATTGTTTTTGAGTTGTGAATTTGTTTTCAAATAACAAACGCTGCTTGAGAGCTCTAACTCGACTCTATCTATACTAAAACTTATTTATTTATGCAGAAATATTTCTGAAAAGATTCAGTTTGTTTTCATTTTGAAACAAGTCTATATTCTCAATGTGAACATAAAATAAATTACCTGTACTCACGACTTTATGTCAAACTATATCTGTGAGCTGCACTCCCAGTTTCGGCAATAAAATGGTGTCCTTAAATAGTCCTTACTACTCAAAAACAACTAATAAATAGTTTAACGACGCACTTCAAGTATTTTTTTTCCGCATCAAACTTTCATGCAGCTGCCTCATCACGCTATTATCTAAAGAACACGCTGTATCTTTGAAATTCCTCGAAATGCCTCGAGCTAAATACGTAACTGCTCAACTCAAGATTAGGGCCCAGGCAAATAATTAGAAATGTCTTTAAATTTGTTCAAGCATTTTGCTTTTGTACAAAGACTGTGAACTTAATTACTGTAAACTAAACTCGAGAGCGTTTGACGATGAGGCTCCACGTGCAACTACTTGAGGCCGTTCAACAGAGAAGAATGCTGCGTGTCCATTTGTGCTATGAGTTTTGGCCATTCCCGTTAGCTGACAAAGTCATCAAAATTTCACAGCCACTTGGGAAAGCAGAAAAGCGCAAAATTTTTATTGTTTTTTCATTAGGCGTTGGCGTGGCGGCCTCGCCCGGCGCTGGTCAATGCTCACAAGCTGGACCGGAGGCCAAAAAGCATAGAAACCAGCCCGGCAATTGACGCCTGGGATACACGCAAAGAGCTCAGCTAAGAGGCGACCAGGGGTAGGCGTGAACATAGGGCCGGGCGCTGGCCAGGAGGTTAGACTATAAAGCATGGAGGGCATGCTCTTTAGGGACTCTTTGGCAACGCAGAGACAAGAAACCGGAATGTTTTTGCTTTTCTAAGTGCGCGACTTAAAAGCTGTGCTTTATGTGTGAAAATCTAGAAAAAGAAATATTTTTCAATTGAAAATTAGCGCGAATTTAAGATCTTTGCATAGGTATATGTGTATATTAAGAAACTTACTCTAGAATATGGTGGCATCTATTCAATATATCCCTTGTCTAGATAGGCAAAAGCTAAACTGAAGTGCACAATTGAAGTTGGAGTGAAAAATCAATTGATGGATATACATATATATACTTGTACTCATTTGTTTTTGAATCGATAAACGGTTAAGTTTGCAGTCAATCATATGATTTGTCATTATACCCCTCTTAAGCTGAATATTGCAGGGTATATAGAGTGCGAAACGGGCCGAAAACACGCGCCACATTGAAAAGGCAAATGGATGAGCACGCGAAAAACTTAATGAACTCCATGAAAAGCGGACGCGGCTGATTGTTGCTATGTTTCCTATGTATGTGTGTGTGTGTGTGTGTGTGTGTGTGTGTGTGTGTGTGTGTGTGTGCGTGTGCGTGTGCGTGTGTATTTGTGTGTATGCTAACTAAGCGCATCACCATTGGGAGTTTGTTGCTGGCGCACAAGTATGCTTAGAGAATCTCCAGAGCACGTTTCCGGAAATAAATAAATAAAATCCAAAGAGGAGCCAGGCGAAGGGGAGCTCGAGCTGAGGCTTGGGGCTTGGGGCGCTGACCAAGCTGCCTACTTTTTTTGAGGGGGGTAAAGCATTCAAATTCAAAAAAATAAGTAAAATAAGAAGCACAAACAAACTAAAAGGCAGACAAACGAGCTTTGCATAGAAATTGACGTGTCCGACGAAAAAGGAAGGGCAGCAACAAGGATAACAGCAAGGAACATAAATTCCCGTAAAATTTTAATGATACAAAATTATTTTGGAAACTGAATGAAGCATTCACAAATGCGGCTGCCACAAATAAATTTTGCTGTTGCCAGTAGATGCCAGTCTACGTGTGTAAGTGTGTGTAAGTGTGTGTGCGTGCGTGTGCGAGTTGTGCTTTTATGCTTACAGCTGCATGCACTTGATTTGTAATTTAATATTAATTAAAATGTAGCAACAGCTGTATCTTCTTTAATTTGGCCCTGTTTTTAACTTAGAGCCCACCTGCATAGTTGTTAAGGCCCCCATCCAAATCCCTTACCCCTGAGATAGCTGCTGGCCAAGTCAACGAACCGAGCTGAGTCAATAATTTTATTGCAAAGACATTAAAATTTTAAATGCTGCCCCTTAACTAAACCTCTTTCTCTCTTTGTCCCTCTCGCTCTCTCTCTCTCTCTCTCTCTCTCTCTCTCTCTCTCTCTCGCTCGTTCTGTCTCCAGTATATTCTTTATTCAAAGTGTGTCTGTCTGGCGCACCTCTTCGCTTGCGGCAACTTTGCGCCTGTGGATTTTGCGTCGTCAACAGCCATGCGGCATTTTCAGTTGCTGCCCCTACTCCAAATCCCTTGGCTCCTTCCCACTCTACCCCTTGGCTCCTTTTCGTTCTTGTTGTTGTTGACTGCGCCAAAAACTTTACCACTGGGAGTTTTTGCCGGGCATCTCGGCGTTTGCTCGGCATTTACGACGTCGCTGCTGCTGCTGCTGTCGCTGCCTTTGTGTTATCGTCCAGCGTGTGTGTGTGTGTGTGCGTGTGCGTGTGCGAGTGTGTATGTCTGCATTAACGAAACTCAATTTCAACTTTTCACTCTGTTCATGTGGAAAAGTTGCCAGCAGCCTCAAGTGTGGGCCAAAAAGAAGAAAAAACCCAGGGAGACAATCATTATGCCCTGTACCAAATAAGTATAAAGGTATGCCCAATGGGAGGAAACCCCATAATATTTATCAAAGTTCTTCATAAGTTTTTCTCATTTGATCAGGAACAAGAATTTTAATTTATTTATTTTGAATAAAGTTTTATTTTTCTTCATAAGGAAGCCAAATATTTATCTGCTTTAATGCAATGCATTACAAATATTTCTTGTTTTTACCAAAATCAGAATCTCTATAAAACGAATATATTTATTATTTTCATGAATTAAATATGGTATGAAAACCTTGTCTCTTGCATCTTTAAAACGGATCCGAGATTTCAATAGAATTTTATAAGTTATCAATTACTGAATACATTTTATAAATATTGCTTGGAACATATTTTGTTTCAGTTAATCTGTAGCAAATAGGAAAATGTAATTCCCGGATAAGAAAGGCTCGTTTTAATACCAGCTTGAAGCCTTGGTAGCTAATGTAGACGGGGCTTTACAAAATAGATTATAGGGTATCTGTAAAGTATGAAGATTTATGTTGCGCGCGCACTCATAGCTGTACGAATGCTGTTCGCTTCGTGGCAGAAATGGAATTGAAATACTTATTTGATGTACGCATTTTTTGGAAGAGGAATTTTAATAACAACCTACAGAAAATTTAATGAAAACGTAAAAGCCAGGCATGCATAAATCAGTTTTATAGTTATGTAAAATAATCGTAATGCACAATTAAATATGCTGGACAAGGCACAGAGGGGTGCACGGTGCAGGCAAAACTTGGCAAAGGACCTGGCCAACACAGTGTAATTTATGTAGCTAGCGACAAAGCCAAAACACAGAGCAAGATAAATATACAGTCGGAGTCGGCGAACTGGCAGAGCTTACTGAGTTGGCCGGAAACCGGATGCAGGAAGACGCCATAAAGGCAACATTTTTCATGGCTGGCCTGGCCTCAAATGCAAACGTGTGCAGTCTGCAATTGGGCGTAGCCGCAAATGTCTCTAATTAGATTCGAGCAGGACTTGATTTTTGTTTTCTTCCATTTTCTTTCCTTTTTTTTGGCAACTCATCGATAAATCAATGCGTTAAGTTCCACGCCCGGCTGTGGGCAAAAGAAATCGCAGTTCGACAGCTGCCGACAGACGACAGCTGATTGATGATCCACGAAATTACAAATTACACAAATGTTATGCGAATTGGCAGATAAAAATCGCGCAAATTCTGCTCACCAAATCACTTAAGCGTATCACCTTATTTGCTTTGTTGCCCCTCCACCCAAGCGCCAAGCTCTGCGTCTTGGCTAAATGAATTTGCCCAATACAAAATTTGATTGATTATGGCCATCAACAATATAAAGGTGCCACTGCTCGAACCCTAAGCTATGGAAATGTTATCTTTTCCTTTTCTGGGCTTGATTTAGATTTAATTTGCTTGCAGACATTTTAAATTGATATAAAAGTTCACTTAATTAGGTTAATTAAAATTGCACTAGCTTTACTAGCTTTTCTTCTTTTCCGTAAAATTCAACTGTTACCCAGTTACTTTAATGGAAACTTCGTATCATAAAGTAGTAAAATTTTGATACAAATTTGTAGCCAAATTTTATACACGATTTCCTTACTATACGGGTATATCTTTCCCTATCCCACCTATCTTTTAGATGTGTTTCTTTTGTTTGAAATCTGAAAAGAATCTGTTAGCATTATTAAAACACGTACTTTACATCCTATAATCAAACTCATGGGGATCAACCTCGAAGCGCTTAAAGCGTTCCGAGTATTGCCCAAAGAAGAAACCCTCAAGTTGGAGTATCATGAAATTGCGATAATCCTGTTCCGAGCTGTAGCGAGCATTATAGGCACATATGCATTGATTTGGCAAGTTCTCAATATATTTACTGATATCCGGTATATCGAGATCACAGGGCAAGTGTATAATATTTATATCGGTAATGTCCTGTGGACATTGAACCTCCCGACGGCGCCGTATATGCTCCAATGTAGCAGCTTCTGTTACACTGGTGGTATAAGTATCGCTGCCCCTAGCAGTGACAGCAGCTGTGGCAGTAGCTGTATAGCCATCATCCAAACTATCATCGTCGACATCGACATCGACACCCATAACCACGCTGCTGTTGGTGGATGTCGGTGAATCGTTGGCATCCATTAGAGTGGATGACATTGCATTTGCGTTGGCGGCTGGCACAGACTCGGTTGCTGGCGGAGGTAAATATCTGGCCCAGCTGCTGGGTAAGCGGTTCTGTGGCGAGCACGTGAGGGCGGGTGGAAGAAAGTTGGCGAGGGGGCCGGTAGGGTATAAGAATATGCTTACCAATGCAATGAACGCGGCAGCCATTGACAGTAACAATTTAAGTGGAAACTGCATTTTCTTGTTATGTTTGTTGTATGTTTTTGTATGTGTATTGTGGAAAGTCAAGTACAAGTATACTGAGGTTTGCCTAGCCTGGCGTTTGCCTAAACTAACCACCTCACCTAACCCCGCTCTCCCTCGAGCTATTTGCTTTATGTAATACGAAAGTCAAACAAAGTTCGTTTTAGCCAAGCCAAACACGATTGCTCATAAAATACGCGCACACTTGCAAATTATGGCCAACATGTGCGCCAGGCGAAAATTGATAACCAAGCGCCCAGCAGTTTTCACACACCAACACACACACACACACACACGTACCCACCAGCACACACATAACTCGATACAGCATCAATTACCCACGCCATGTGGTCAGACAGCAGCATTTGCAGACTCCTGCCTGAGGCGAAGGCTGGTGCGAATTGAAACAAGCGGGCTTAGCTCGAGTCAAGTTGACTAGAATCGCAGATACCCTGTACTTTGTTTCGTGAGTCTATCAACCCATTGTTATGCATCTTAGAGGCACTAAAATATTCAGCTTGGCTTTTCATATACTTTCATTTTATTTTCAGTTTTATCAGAAATATATTGAAAAACTCGCGGTGCTGGGGTTGGGGTTCTGGCCTAGGCTTTCAGTACAAAATATATTGGTATTCCGGGCTTGTAATGTTTCTGTCGATTATTCGCTATGACTTACAAAGTTTAGATGACCTTTGGGCCATTCTTAATGGGGCACAGGGTATAAAAATGCATCATCTGAATCGAATTGGTGGGCGGTTTGGGTGGACTGTCCAAGAGTGAGTGCAATGACTGCGACAGCGGATACTGGGATATTAGAAAAGCCACACGGCCGAAGTGAAGCATGTTAAGAGTGACAGCCAAGTGCCACAGACATACACACACTTGCACACACTTTACACACACACTCACAAGCACTTACACACAGCAGCATTGATAATGACCAGCACTGCAGATCGACATGGAACATTTCAAGTGTGAAAATAATATGACAGCAGTAATCAAGGCGACAACAGGGACCAAGCTACCCCTCACCAACACCGACTCCCGCGGCTATTGATATTGATTTCAGGCGTGGTAAAACGCGTCGCAACGCAACATCGCAAATTGTAAACGAGCTGAAAGCGGCCTCTAAGGCTACAGGAAATGGGCAAAATAACTGTGCGGAAATGTTGAGAGCACATTGCAATGAGTCCCTGCTGGCTGGGTTGACTCAATGACTGACTGACTGGCTGGCTGGCTGGCTGGCTGGCTGGTTGGCTGGCTGGTTGGCTGGTTGACTGGGCTGTTAACACATGTCACTGGACCATAATTGCAAGATATATATTTTGGAGTTGGAGTGCGATGCGAGCTAGAGCAAAGCTGGGAATGAATGACAATTGTTTTGACACGCCTGACAGCTGGCGGGTGCGTGGGCAGCGCCGGTGGAGTGTGGGGGCCAACGATCAGAGGCAGCTGTCAAAAGCAGACAACAGCTGCCAGGACACAGGCAGGCACACAGCCAACGCATAGTCCATGCATATACAAGCGCTGATAAAATTCATGGCACACTCGCACACACACTTCCTGGCAAATTGAATTTTTCTTGCTGTGCGACGTGTAGAATTTATGCGAAAATTATTTTGTTGTGCGTTTGCGTTGAAATGCAACTTCATCAGGCAAGCTTGAAGCAGTTTTCAATTATGCAATAAGCTCAAGCACTTTGTTGCCTTAACAGTAAATTTCGCATTCAATAGGCTAAAGGCAGCGTACGAGAAGCCCAAAGCCGAGTGCCACATAGCGTTTAGCCACTTAAATGGGCAACGTGTGGCATGCAACCAAGTGCGGCACATTGCGCTGCAGTGCTTGATTATGGCCCTTAGCATCCTAACAAATCTCTTTAGTTGACTGCGCTCAAAAGTCCAACCATTGATTAATAATCTCTGTGAAAAGCCAAAGTCTACGTTTTTCTCGGCCGCATTCCACATCCTGCCTGCCTGCCTGCCTGCCTGGCTGCTGCCTGTGCCTAAAGCTGCCAGGATAGCACATATTTCGCCTGCACCAGCAAATTTGTTGCCAGCTGCAATTGGCGACTCCCCTCCCCCCTTCCACCTCTTCATTCTTCACTTTTATAGCTGCAACTGACGCCTTGGTGCCCGTCGCCCGCATTTTGTTGCCTTTTGTTACATACCCTGTGATGCATACAAATGGGCAGTATTGAGTTCTAATGATGCAGAACCATATTGATAATTCAGTTCGACCAGACATCAGAATTACTTAATACACTATATGGGGTATACAAGATTCTTAATAGAAGAAATATCCCATTTAATAAGTAGCTTTGATCTTATTACTACCAAAGTCCTTTCATTCATTCTCAATCTATTACACAATAAAATAATTACGTCCATATAGATATCGCAAAAGATATTAAGTCAAATATATCCTACACATTCTCTAGCAGTCGCGCATACCCTACGTGCATTGAGGCTGGTTATTTTTTTTTTTGTTATTTTTATTGTTCTTGACGTCGTAGTTGTATTTTATTTTGTTTTGCTTTTTGCACGAGGCGAACCTTTTGTTTATTTGCGCTCCGGCGGATCACAAAAACTGTAATAGCAGCAGTCCGGGGCAGGACATGGGACATGGATGGGACGCGAAGGCAGGACGCAGGACGTAGGACGTGGGGCGCTGAATGTTGGACGTAGACGTGAACGCGGACGCAGGCACCTCGGCACAAAGGCGAAGCAGCGTGGAGTTAAAGCGCAGCTAACAAAAATGTTTATGTGCTGAAGGGGGACTGCTGAAAATTGGGGGCGAGTGCGAGCGAAGCGAAGGGCGCGTGGCAAGATGGCAGTATGCACGTATGTGCAGTTATAAATTGCAACTCGTGCGCAACGTTTGCCAGTCAGAACTGGGCGAAACGGCATCCGAGATGGCGTCAAAAAGAGAGCACAGCTACGAGTTAGAGCCAAGAATAGTTTGGTGAAAAGAGAGACACAGAGCAAGTGGTGGGGGGGAGGGGATGTTTGTGACTGTAACGTTTGGGCTGGATAGTTGGTTAGTTGGGTTAGTTGGTTTAGTTGTTGTGTGGCAAAGCCGCAGGCAGCGAGGTCGCTCGAGCTGCAGGTGATGCATCTGCGGCTGTCCAACCATGTCTGTGTGTTTATATGTGCGTGTGCGTGCGTGAGCTGGTGCTGGTATGCGTGTGTGGCAAGTAAAGGGCGGAAAATTGTTACAATAATAGAATTAACAAAACAAAATGAAAGCTGGGCACAATTAAATATTTGCGCGGCCAGCCATGGCAACAATGTGGCCGCTGCAATTTTATGTTGTGCATTGAAAATCGCTAAAAATCCAACGTAAACTGAACAATCATTTATGGGCGCACAGCGTGGGCGGGGGCAACAGCTAGCTGCAACCTGGCACACACGCTATTGCAACATTTCAAATTAAACAATTTTAAATGTGCTCCATGTGCGGGGTCGCTGTTAAAATGTAACGACTGTAACCGAATTGCAGCTGCGGTTGGCTGCATTTATGTTTATTTGCATTTTGCAGTCTGCAATTTGCATTTGGCAGGTGGGCGTGGCATTCACACATCCCTCCCCTCTGTACCACATATCAATATGAATCGCTTCAATAAATAACGCCCAGCGAAACAATGCGGGAACTGTGAACAATTTTTTTAAGTGCTTTTAATTTGATTTTTATTTACCCGCAAAGAAGGAAAAGAAAAGGACGCGCACAGCCGTAAAGCCATTGGGTAAATATATACCCACAGACAGAATCGACAATTGAACCGATCTTAAATACTGTTTGTGTAATGCTGCTCCTCTTCAAAAATATCAGTCAACTGGAAGTTGAACATTATTTTAAAGCGATTCATGAGTTAAAGCTGTTGTTGAAAAAATGGTACACAGAGGTGAAAATATTTCCGACTCCATGCAGTATCGATATATTGTACTTGCGGCAATTACCCGACCTTGCCCGTGTTACGCATAAAATAAATTAACAAAGAGCAGAACCTCGAGGAAATTGGATGAATGATTTAGAGGTCAAACCATGAACAAAGAAGGAAACCCCGTGCAAATCAAATGAGATATGATCGAGTTGTGGGAGTGGGACAATTTTACTTGTGTCTATATAGAATATTCGAAGGTACCTTTTTTACATGAATTCTGACTAAAAATAGTGTTGCCAGATATAAATGCCGAATTGATCTAGAGGACAAACCATGAATAAAAATACAATTCTCGTGGAAATAGGATGAGTTTTTACCCAGTTGTGCGAGTTGGAAATTTTATATAGTTAGGATAATTGAGGGTACCTTTTTTACATGAATTTCGACCAAAAATAATGTTGCCAGATTTGGATGTCAAATTGATCTAGAGGTCAAACCATGAATAAAGAAAAACACCTTTTAAAAATCAGATGAGTTTTGACCGAGTTATGGGACTGGGAAATTATTTATTGATTATTATTTGAAATACGTTTGAAACTTTTAGTAAAATCTACTTCTCTTGAGTGGAAAACGCGGCCTTTTCCGGCCTTAAGTTTCTCGTCACAAAACTAAATTGCACGGAAAGCGCAGATTCCTGCCTTTGATTGTTCATTCGTTGCTTTTTAAAAGCATTGTCAAATAGAGATAGACATGGAAACTGGTGGGAAATGGATAGCATTTTCTATGTTTAAAATTTGAAGCAAAAACTGAGACCGGACAAGGTCTGTAAGTACTAGCTAGCATATACATAGCTTGTATGTATATAAGATTTGAATCTAAGCAAACCAATAGCAGGTTCAAAATGGTTATGAGCCAGGCCTGAACTGGTTGTGCCCCTGGAATTGGAATTGGCTACATAGGGTCCGTTTTAGTCTTAATCCATTTGTAAGCGAAACGTAAAACTGTTTTGAAATGAGTTTGTTTTGATGAAAAACTGACCCTTAATTGGTTAATAAATGATCCTAAATAAATTCCCTTTTGAATTATGTTTGAACTTCTTGTTGACCGTTTAAGGAGCGGCGCTTGGCCAAGACTTCCATTTTAACTTTAACAAAACTTAACAGACTTTCACGTTTAATTGAATGTTGACCC